GTCTGGGGCGAATGTGCATTGGGGCGAACTGACTGTGAATCGATTATAGTTCCTGGGCTCCCTGTGCTACTATCTTGAAAAAAAACCATTTCAATGGCACGTCCCCAATAGGTAATTTCTACATGGTGCCACGCCAGGAATCGATTTGTGGGACAATGTGAACTGGAACGAATTGACATGCATGCACAGTCCTTTATCATATCTTCGTGGTAGAGGGATTATAGCATGAGCAAGCATGTTTTGAAACCCTAGCGACTTGTGAATGACAAGTGACTGAAACCAGGTGGTTTATGATTGTAAGGGATAACACACTGCGGAGAAAATTGACACAATATCAAAGCCTGTATGGTAACCAGTTTCACGATATGCCACGGATTAGTAAAATCCACGGATTAGTAAAATCCACTATACTTACTACAAATATAGCTTCGGGAATACCTCCATGTGCAGGTCTTTCCTTCGCCTTATCCGCCATTTTGACACCAAAGGTCACGTGACCGGCAAAGGAACTCTGACCTAGATTTTGAAGAAAGCCGCCTAGAACATGAGCACTCCCCGTAAGATCGCACACGAAACTGGGGAGTAAACCATGAAGTTACTCTGAATATCAGTGTACTATTGGCTACAGTAATTTTGCAGATCAAGAGTATATTGAAATACCACGAGAATACGCGAGACTACAGAAGCAAGATGGCGTCGTCCAACATGCTGAAGGTGGGAAATAACTTTATTTTGCTTTAGTTACGTTTATTGCAGTATTTGTCATTTAATACCCAGCTACATAAGCAATCTATGAATGTTAATGTCGTGTGAACACAAAAACAAGTTGTTGGCGCTTGAAGACATGCGATAAAGTTTCGATCTGTAGTCTGTACGTGATCAATGATTCTGACTGGATTGAGGGAACTGCGTTTTTCGAATTGAATCGGCGCTTGTCATAGATCATGACAGCGCGGTATGTCGTCTCGTCTCGGAAACGAAAGCAACGGGACTGTGAATATACAAATATGAGTACTACCTTGACACAACCATACATGTACATCTCAAATAGGAACACTGTCGATGGGTAAAAAGTATTGTAATCTTTTGTGAAGTAAACATAACAACACAAGGTCATGTTATTAACGAGATATGGGTATTTTTGTTGTGCTCCCATCAGCCAAACGAGGTACTACATGTATGTTATTAAATAACAAGAACCTGTTTACATTATGCAGTAAATGTAAGGATATGTTGGAAATGTTTTGAAGTACATTGTACTTGATGCTCCTACAAGATCAGCATCATGGCATTAATTTGTTATTTCTGACAGTTTGTTAAATAATTCATAATAAATTTTCATTATTGATCTAGACCCCGGTCACCTCAACCCAACGATCCTGGTCACATTGACCCAGTGTTCCTATTCATCTTGGTTTGACAATGCTAGTCGTCTAGACCTTGATATACAGTATACCACATTGTTTTGTTGTGAAAACCCAATTAATGAAATTTCATAAGTGGACCATTTTGATGCTTGTCATTTTTCCTTGTTCAAATCATTGATATAAAACCTCAGAAGCTTCTGTATCATAGTTCCAACTATTTTACTTGATTGGCAATTTCACTAAATCACAATAGTTTGTCTCACCATACTGCTAATTCAACTAAACTGATTGAACTCCAAAATGTTGGACAGAGATTTGATTAAAAGTTTTGAAGTGTATGTGTTGCGCTTTATTGTTAGAAGTTAGAGCAAATCACACTAACTGAACTATTTCAACAATTTCATGTGTTTTTAATTGCTGTGTCAGCATCTTGTCTAATGATTCATACATTTTTGTTTCTATCTAAAGGATAAAAATCAGTTAGTATTTGAGGATAAGTGGGACAATATGCGACCCACTGTTCTCAAGTTATTGAGACAAGAACCTGTTACAAGAGCAGAATGGCAAGATCTTTTTTGGTAAGTTTGCAGAAACATATATTAAATGGATGCTTATAGAGTTAATGAGGTGCTTGATGCAAAAATCTCAATGTTCTCGTCTGCAGTTGAATTAAACCTGCCTCGATTTACAGTAGCTTTCCTTCCAATGCGACTTCATTTGAAATTTGTTTTCTGTATTTGATATTTTGTTTCACTAGCAATTGAGTAGAAAAAACTGTAAATAGCCGTTGTGCTACAAATCAGAATACATTTCACGGCACATATTGCATTTGTTATTGTCACATTCTTGCCACAAATAGTCAAAGTTTGACTCACAGATTTGAAGACTCCGCACCCCTGAAAAACTTGAATTTAATTTCACTCAAAATTTCCTCTGCAAAAATAATATCTGTGCAATAATTAAGTATTTCACAGTACCCAGTCAAATTGGTTATCTCATTGATTTCAATGCTGATAAATTTTCTTTTGGTAAAAAATCTGATAAATTTGTTAAAATTGACTTTTTAAGGAGTTTATACAAAAAGGAACTTTTGACCCTTTCCCTTTTAAACCTGTGATATCAAGCAAGACATAACACATGTAAGTTTGTTTGTACTTGTACATAGTGTAGGTTCTAAGTTGATATTACTATTGGTAGATATTTACAAACGTTATTACTCAGACAGGGTCTGAGTTTATCATCAACTGTCATTGCTGTAGTTGGTTGATATGAATGCTGTAATGTTGGAAATAATATTCACAACAGTATTGTCACTTCCATTTCCTATATACATGCACATTCACTGTAAATTCTTATCTTCTAAATGTATCAAATTTGTGTATTGCCATTTATAGGGATGTGCATTCAGTTTGTTTATGGGATGATAAAGGTCCTGGTAAAGTCCATAAAGCTCTACAGTCAGATATCTTAGATTTTATCAATCAAGCACAAGGGGTAAGTCTTTATTTCATGCTTTCACTTTCAGAATAAATTTGATACATGTTTCAAAATAGGAACATAGAATATTTTGTGTTCCAGTGAAGCTTAGGTATTGCAGCATGGCTGCAGTCACCAAATTTCAGCTGAATTTTGTAAGGTCTACTACAGTGTTTCCCATGTTTAATTAACCTTTTCACCACCAGATTTTCCCGGCCCATTTTTTCTTCACATTTGTTTTATGTACTTTAACATATCTGGAAATAAACAACAGACAACAATTTAATCAATTTTCAGCTTTGAATGTCAACTTTTATCACAAATCACACTTGTGTAGCTATTTTTGTTGACTGTAAATCCATTAATTTTCTCTGCTGTTTAATTTCACTATTTTGATGTTTTGAGCAATTTTATTTGTTTTTAAGTTCACAAACTTGACAGGGAATGAGTTCTATTTTTATTCTATATGTTGAATTTAATTTACCAGATTAACTTATCAGCAAAAATAACAAAATTCAAAATTAATGAGTAAATAATGTATTACAGTATTTTCTAAAAACTTGGCAAGGACTTTTGGGTTATGGAAAAATAAAAACAACAAAGAAAATACAGAAAAGTACTGAAAATATATAAAATGTTGATAATAAATAATAAATTTTGACGAGAAAATTACTGCATTCAATATTTCTGTGGCGGCTTTTTCTCATAGATGTCGTTAGATGTCGTTGAAAATATGTACATGTATGGATACCTAGGTAACAATACCTCTGTTATTTGTTTAAACCCCCTTTCTGACTATACCGTACTTATCCTGGTAAGAGCCCATGCCTGGGCAAACGTCCACTCCCCACTTTTGACACAATAAAGAAGTTGAGGTCATATCCGGGCACACGCCCAGAGGGTCTTTTTCTACACAAAACAAAAAAACTATTTTCTATACGTTGACTGTGGTTGTTGAGAGTTGACTTTCTTGAAGTCTGTCATGATGCTCATAAAAATTCTTTCAATATAATTGTTAATTGCGTAAAACAAGGGGTGAACGCGAAATAGCTGTGACAGCTTTCTGCCTTCAGGGCAGCACGTTCACCGTTGATTTTTTTCAGAATCATAACAGTCAGCAAGTCTATAAAAAATATATATTAAAGCAGAAATGGTAGTTCTCTTTTTGAAATGTGTCGTGGCCCTAAAAAGGGCAGGCCGTTTGATTTGTGCTTTCTTAGAAACGATTCAGGTAAATCATATAAGGAGAGCCCCTAAGCAAGTGTCGCACTCGTTCAGCTTTAACGTCGTCGACAATGAAACAAATGTTGCAATATTGTAGCAACCCGTACCTGGGGAGAGTGGTTGAAATCACGTTATTTTGGCTTTATAAAATATTTGGTAGCAGCTTGCGAATCCATAACTGGGGCCATCAATTTTGCAATGTCACGTCAAAGACTGCCAACTTTTTTACCATCTTTTATCACCGCTATTGCATTTCTGTCATGAAAACTATTCTTCTGTCGTTGAATAAAAAAAAACTTCCTATTTCAAGTCCACCGCGATATCCATATAGTGAGACATTCCAACCGCTGGAACTTGCTGAATGATAACTTTCACTGTGATTGATAAGCGTTGAGTCTGATAAGAAAGCAATGTCACGATTTGACCTTTATGATGAAATACTAGTAGTGATGTCATTCTTAGCCAATCAGTAAAGCAGATGCATAAAGGTCAAAGATGATTGCCAGACTGTAAACAAAAGCATCGTATGCCATCGCAGCAGAGCGACCCTATTTTTCTTGTCTCTTTATTGTGATTAGACATGAATGAAAAGTGCCAAGCTGACAGACTGCGAAATCTGTGGATTGTGTGGGGCGATATCGACGAACTTCAGGAAGAAGTTGTAGGGATTTTGTTCGACAGCTACAGTGACGCCGACTCGGACTTTCAGGGTTTTGAGTTTGACGAAGATGGCAATGAACATACAAATAAATATCTGACAAGTTTTGTCAAACAGATATGAATTTTTATAATTTTTACTGTGTAAATTTGTAAATTATTATTGATCTTGTATGACAGTTGATTCGTAATTTGTCGAGACCGGAAATCATTTTACGCAGTTTAACCCCTGACATTTTAATTCATTTTGAGTTCACGCGTATTGGGCGTCTTTGTTGGCGGGAAAATCCTAATTCAAATGATTCCTCACTGTTGATTTCCGTTGCATGTTTTCATTTGCCGTTCTATTCCCTGCCGCAGTTCGATCTGTGTGTTGAACATTTTCGTTAATTTCCGTGTTTTTTTTGCCAGGGATCTCCTGGCAAACGCCCACATCTATTTTTTGGCAATTTTCCATGTTCAGGACCCTAGGCTTATAGCCGGATAAATACGGTATATTAAATAGGCTTATAACAAATCATTCTAATCATGGTGTCTTTGAGGCAAGATACAGAAAACCTGCATATTTCAGATAAAGGCCATGCTTTTTTTTGCATTTCAGAGTTGTGATTTGTGAGTTTGAACACTGTTATGAAAACTTGTCGAACTACTGTTGTATTTACTTTGAATGTTTTGTGCTATTTTCAGCGGGTGATGAGTCATCAAGATGACTCTGCATTACTCAAGTCCTACATCATAGAATGGAGGAAGTTCTTCACACAGTGTAGTTATTTACCCAAACCGTTTGGGCAACTAGAAGTGTCCTTGTCTGGAAAAACTATCAGCACTTCACAGAGGAAAAACCAAGCTGAAGATAGCGAAGTTAGGAAAGTAGGTTTTTTAAAGGTTTATTTTCCCTGTGATGAAACCTCTAAGAAATGAGTGGGGATATAAATGAACATCATAAAAATTGCTACATGCTGTTTTAGTGAATTTGACTCAATGCGTGCTTTAGAAAAATTGCAATATAATATGCTGACAATTGCTTAATAACAATAGACTTTTTACTGAATTAGCTATATCTTGAATTAAAGTTAAACAAAATTACAGTACTGTACATTTTAAGTGCAACTCATTGTTTATGCTGGTATTCTGTCTGATCTGAATATTTAAACCCCTGCAGTGAGCCAGGTGTGGGCACTTGTATTGAACTGGCTATTGTGCTTGACCTGTAAGCAAGTGTTTATCCAACCAGCTCACTTCCTGCATATTGTTAAGTTATATCACAGTCCCTCTATCACCGGTCTGGAAACGCTTAGTATTCTATTGTACTAACCCTCGTAACGGGCAAATAAATCGTTGACACCTTACGCCAAGTTATCCCGAAAATAAACTCCCATTGATGTAGTCATACATATCATTAACCCACTGGAAGTTACCATGACACTTAGCGATTTGGGTCATTGCGCATGCGTCATTACCAGTACACGGATCACAACATTACCATGTGGAAGGCTTGCGGCGATTTTGTCGAATTCGACGATGACAACATTGATTGCGATTTTCATTGAAGAAGGAATCCATGAAGTGCATAAAGATAAACCATGTAGTTCAACCAGTGCCGAAAACATACCAGAGAAACCTTTTACGAGGCATGATTGCCACGCCCACACTCCTGTCAAAACTCCACAACTGCTGTCTGAACGTAAACAAAATTTGTCTATGAAATTAAACTCTTTATTACATCCCAAACAGAATT